GTGCGATGCGGGGCGTCGGGAGAGTGGGAGCGCTCCGGCGTTCTTGGAGGCTGTTTGCTTCCGTCGTTTTCGGCAACGTCACCTCCAGGCGTCGCCGCACTCAGTTTTCCCGGCAACGAAGGGGAGACGGCTCTCTAGGCGGGGTCGTGGTGCTGGGGACGCGGAACGTCGTGGCGATGGAGAGCGGGCTTCACGGCGGAGAGATGGCACTGGTGAGGGTGAGCGACGGAGGTGCTCCTCGATATCGCGAGGGCGTTCGCCGTACCTCGGGCGTGGGTCGTTCGGGTGGAAACCACGCAGCTCAAGACGACGGTAGGGGCAGCCGCGATAGATATGGTCGGCTTCCCCGTAATGATAGCAGAGCGGGCGTCGGTCGGCCGTTCGCCACACGTCGATCTTCCTCGGCGAGGGTCGCTCCGGGCGGACGTCCTGGACTTGTTCTTGGCGTCGAAGGTTTTGCGGCTTTGGATTGCCCCGTCGAGATGACGCCTGGTATTGATGGGCAACAGGCAGCGGTCGGCGGGCTGCGGCGGCGTAGCTCAGTGTCTGCTCCTCTTGCGCCACCATGGTGCCGGGAACGTTTGGCCGGAGTGTCCGGTGAATTTCTTCACGGACAGCCTCAGCGATGGAGAGGGATGCCGGAGGACTGGCCACAGGTAGCAACTTCTGGAGCTCCTCCCGGACGACGTCGTGGATAACCTCACGGATGTCCCGGGTACGGGCGCCGTTCTCGTCGTTAAAGCAGCGTGGAGGCAACGACGCCGGGATGTCGTTGGTAGTATAGAGGCGCGTGCTTGGAGGGCGCGCTCCATGTTCGTTGCCTTCGTGACAAACGCTTCGACGGTGGTCGGAGGGTTGCGGACGAGGCCCCCAAAGATGTCGTCCCACACCCTGCGCATGAGGACGCGCAGCTTCTTGTCGTCGGCGGCTTGTGGGTCGGCACGCGCGCTCAAGTGCAGGACGTCTTGAACGAAGCTGGTGACGCTTTCGTTGGGGCCTTGCGTCCTCGTCCGAAGAAGGTCCTCGGCTGTCTCCCTTCGGTGCTGACTGGCCGAACGTCCCTCGGATCTCTTCTTTCAGCTGGTCCCATGATGTAATCGAAGTTTCACGATTTTCGAACCAGTGTCGCGCCGTGCCCTCGGAGGAAAAATAGACGTTTTGCAGACGCTGTTCCGGAGTCCATTGGTTGTGCAGCGCCACCCGTTCGTATTGCTGCAACCAATCTTCGACGTCTTCGTAGATTTCGCCGTGGAAAGACGTCGGCATACGAGGGGCGACGGGCAGGTAAATGACGTGGGGCGCTGCTGTGGTCTGCGCCGTCGAGGAAGCCATCGTCATTATCGCTTGCCTTGTACTCGCCGGGGGTGGTCCGAGTTCAGGAGCTTGACCTTGAAGACTGCGGCTGGCACGATGCTCCGAGTGTTCAACAATGGGTTGTCGAGAAAGGGGGCTTGCTGAACGTGTTCTTGTAGAGGTACGCTGCACGGGTTTCACACTCCGCACCTCCACCAAAATGTCACGAGTAACAAATGATGACGCGAAGAATAACTGAAGAAACTAAACGTTTAATGAGGCGAACTTGTGCCCAAAACAAAAAGAAAAAAGAGAACAGAGCGTCGCGGGCGTCGAAGTCGGCGCAACAGCAGGTTCGAGCGCTGGGGCGAGGCTGGCTCTGGCTTGCCACGCAGAGCCCCTTTTGTACACGCGTGGGCTTCTGGAACAATCGGCGTAGAAGGTTCGGCGTGTCGAACATTCTAACCTTGAATTAGCAACATGGTTCTCGAATTTGCCAGAACATTACGTTAGCATCAACAAAAATGCTTCTTCGCGGCCGGGAATCAAGCCGTGGCTTTCTGCGTGGAAGGCACGCAGCGATAACCGTTAGGCCACGAGCGCGCTGCCTGCTTGCCCACCTGCGCGTGCGGCAATAGTAAGCAACATAGTAAAACCGGAGACACGGAAACACAAAGGTCACACACAACACCGTCTCAGTTTTGTTGTTGTGTCCTTCGTGTTTCCGTGTCTCCGGTTTTATTATGTTTCTCGCACGCGGCAACATCAGCGTACACATCATAATCTTATAAATGAGAAAGCTTTAACTATCCCATGGAGCGGAGCCGGCCAAGTCTGTAACCGTGAACAACGGGAGGAGCCGGCCGCAAAAAAATTCCCAGGAGCCGGCGGCGTCTCTATGCGCGAAAGAACGCGAAAGGAATTCCCAGCGGCCGGCGGCGTCTAAACCGCTGTAACCGCGAGAAACGTGGAAGTCCCAGCGAAACGGCTCCCTAGATAGCCATTGGCCGGGACGCGTATAGTTCCAAGGAACGCCACCCCACAGAGAAGCCCTCTTCCTGGCGCTTCGGGCCCGCACGCCAGGTAGGAGCGCGCTGGACCGTCGCTCTCGTCTCAGTCGTCGCAGGGGGGAGTTGTGGGGGTGTGCGGTTGCTTCTGCTCCTCTCGGCACCGAGGAACATCGCGGCGCCTGGGGCATCTATATAACGTCGGCGGCCGCAACCTCGGCAGTAGCGAAGCGTGGCCGTCCACACTAATACACCGCAGACGAACTGAGGGAGCGGAAGAACGACATTCATGCTTTCGCATTCACAACCCATAAGGAATGCTTAAGTGTCTTCGGAATATTTTGATACTGCCTGCATCCTGACATCGTAAGGCGCTCCCGCTCTACGCGGTGCATCTTCTGTATCTTAAAGTTCCTAGATAAGAGACTTTGCTGTATCCCTCTGCGAGTGGTGTGACTGCGGCAGTTGCTCTATTGTGCGTCCACGGTTGGGGTCAGCTGGCGCAGTCTCGGCGCTTGCGAAGCCCCACAAGTTGGCAGAAGGGCAGCGAGGCAGATGCTTGGGTATTTTAAGATTCAGCTTGACAAAATCGTGCATAAATAGTTGTCATTGCAATCCAAATGTCATTACATTGAAACCTACCCAAGATTAATTCAATTTTTAATTGATTTGCTTCAATTCATTTACAGTTCTTGAATTACTGTAATTGAATGGCGACAATTATGTTACAGTATTGAAATCACAAATTATATTGCTACAATTAAATTGCAGTATAAAGGGAGAGGCCTAAAAGACCACATCCCACCAGGGCGGTGGGGCCTACCCTTGCTTTCCTCTAACTCAAAGGAAAAGAAAGTCTGCAAACCGATCGAGCGTAGGCGTGGTGTTACACGTGAAGTAATAACGTAACGTGATGTGAAAAAAAAACCCCTCAAAGTTTATATGAAAAGAAAAGTCGAGGTACACCTAAACACTTCTTATGAGTTGTGAATGCGAAGGCATGCACGTTATTCTACCGTTCCTTATTTCGTCCGCAGCGTACTTGCGTCGACGGGGTGAGGGGGAAAGGGCGCGCACGTAGGAAAGCCGAAGTGGAGAGGAGCAACCTCCTTTCCACAACGGCACAACCTCCTTTCCACAACGTTTTTCTTTTTAGAGCGCAGCTCTTAGGGGCCCGTTTCCGGCTTGAGCGGCGTCGCCGTCGCCGTCGCCGTCGGCGTCGCCGTCGGCGTAACCGCGCGGTGCATCATGGGAAATGTCCCATAATGCACCGCGCGAGCCCCCCCACCGGGGTCACGTGACCTCGTGGGGGGTCACGTGACCCCCCCCGAGGTCACGTGACTCCCCTGAGGTCACGTGACCCCCTCCTCAAGGTCACGTGACCCCCTCCTCGAGGTCACGTGACCCCCCGAGGTCACGTGACCCCCCGAGGTCACGTGACCCCCGCCGATGTCGCGTGACCCCCCGATGACGTCATCGTCACTGATGACGTCACCGGCATCCACATCGTCATCGTCATCATCACTGATGACGTCACCAGCATCCACATCGTCATCGTCATCATCACTGATGACGTCACCGGCATCCACATCGTCATCGTCATCATCACTGATGACGTCACCGGCATCCGCATCGTCATCATTACTGATGACGTCACCGGCATCCACATCGTCATCGTCATCATCACTGATGACGTCACCGGCATCCCCATCGTCATCGTCATCATCACTGATGACGTCACCGGCACCCACATCGTCATCGTCATCATCACTGATGTCACCGGCATCCACATCGTCATCGTCATCATCACTGATGACGTCACCGGCATCCACATTGTCATCGTCATCATCACTGATGACGTCACCGGCATCCACATCGTCATCGTCATCATCACTGACGACGTCACCGGCATCCGCATCGTCATCGTCATCATCACTGATGACGTCATCAGTGACGTCACTGATGTCGTCACCGGCATCCGCATCGTCATCGTCATCATCACTGATGACGTCATCAGCGACGTCACTGATGACGTCACCGACATTCGCATCGTCATCATCACTGGTGAAGCCATCAGTGACGTCACTAATGACGTCATCGGTACCCGCATCGTCATCGTCACGGATGACGTCATCAGTGACGTCAGTGATGACATCATCGGCATTGGGGGTCACGTGACCCCCAAGGTCACGTGACCCCCCCTGGTTAGTTTACCCCCCCCCGTGCCCTTCCCTCCTCCTCCTCAAGAGCTGCGCTCTAATTCGGCGTTACAGGGAGTTGTAAGCGGCTTTCATTTTTTTTACAGCTCTCCTCGGAGCGCTGACCTTGGGCGTGGAGCGGTGGAGCCGCTGCCTCGCGGACACGCCGCGCCATGGGTTGGCGGTCGTTGAAACTGACGCGCAGCGGCCAATGGGAGCCTCGTCGACGCGCGCCAGCCAATGAGACCGAAGCCGAAATCCATCAGCTTTACTCCGTCCTTTGGGATCGGGGCAATTAGGTGCCGTTTGGCTACGCTTTTCGCGTGGTTTCATAGCTGGGAGCTGACTTCACTTGGAGAAAGTATTTAACGTGCCGCATGGCGCGGTTTCAACGCTGATGACGTCGGCTCGCTCCGTGGGACAGTTAAGGCTTTCGCATTAAAAAGAAAGAGAATAGGCGCCACACTGAGTCCTAGCTATGAAGCAAATGTTACGACACCGCTTTCAACAAAACGAACACGCTACTTTTATTTTTGCCTTCTCGATGCGATCGTTTCCAGTCTAGATTACTATTTACACGGCCAACTTGCAGAGGTGGGTGAAATGCGTCGTCCCTCTCCCAGCCTTTTCAGAAGCGCCACTTGATCCTGAAGGAGAGCACGCAGTAGGCGGCGACCCAGAGCGCCAGCGTGAGGACAGGGAGCGCGACCACGTTGGCATACAGCAAGTTCTCGTCGATCCAGTAGCGGGCCAGCACCTGTTCATTGAGACCAGTGGCCGAATTCGTTAAAGCACCGCACCTCGTAGCTGGTGGAGCGAAATTTATCGTTGTGGAACCCAGGGATCCTGGGTTCAATCAATACTACCTAAACGACAAGTCCTGCGTCCTCAACCTTCATTCAGCATATTTGCCGCTTTAGGCGGGTCGGCGATCAAGTAACGATGACGTCATGAGCAGGCCTTGTCTTCAAGGTGGCATTGGTTCAATCCCCACCCTCTCCGTTTCGCTCTGCCATGGATGAGCATCGTACCGGCGCGCGGTCATGTAGTCACTACTGCGTTAAGCCCGTTCAACACTTGCAACCGAGTACGACCGAGAGAGACAAGACCTGTTGAAACCTCTTAAAATTTTTAGGACGAGAAAACACACGAGCACGCTGGTGCCATCTGTATGCGGTGACACTGGAACTGCCTATCACAAGAGTGAAAGTTTTGCGGGATTTCCGAGGTCAAATGTGCGTAATACCTAGGATTAGGGCTTGTTTATGACATTGACAATAGTTTTTAGAGCTAAGAAAGAAAGGATAATGCGCGAGAGAAGTAGAAAATATGCCGGACCGCCAAGTTTACACTGTTACCCAATAGATGGCGCCAGTCTGTCCTCTCGTCGTAAGAGATATTAAGAGGTTCCAAGGTACTCGGTTCTAAGAGGTCGCAAGTGTGTGAACGTGTCTTTATGCCAGTTAAAGAACCCAGATTAGCGATTTTACTGCACCAATTAAATATTTCCTATACGGCTGAGACAGTAGACATCCATTGAGGCTGTCTAATTTCCGGCTGTCTGAAGACGCACACAACACAATTACAGCACCTGGTCTCCGGAAGAGAAGGGGCAGCTGCGCGGGGAGCCCTCTGGGCACCGGAGGGTCCGCTTCCAGCCGAAGACGGCCGTCATGGCGCCGTTGAAGGCGTAGAAGAGGTACGAGGTGTACGGGAGCCAGACCGCGTGCACCGCCAGGTCCTTGGCCGGGAAGAAGAAGCCCAAGAAGAGCAGCGCGTGCGCGAACACCGTCGCAGACACCATGCAGCCAATCTGCGAGACGGGAGAAATAACGTATGTCCTCGACAAGCCTCGTGCTGCGTGTGCTTGCGGGTACCGGACGAAAAGGAGCGTCCTGCCTCTGCAACCATACACCCTGCTGCACTTCGAGAAAAGCATAGCTGGCGAACGCTGGAGAGGAGACGGGTTGTCCTGCTTTTCTTAAACAAGGTATAACTCACTGCTTATAGGAAGGTCCGTTTGTCTACAGGCGCTGTGTGCTTAGTTCTATCAATTGTAGATAATAAAAAGAACACGGTGGCACCGCTTGGCCCCCATTCCATTTTATAATCTAGTAACACTCTACTATTTGTAAATAACTTCCTTGAAGTATGTGTTCCAAGCACTTCAGTCTGAGAAGGTAAGCCTTTCAGCCAAATGTCGACTGCCAGGCTACCGACAGATCCACTTTCAAGTTTATACTCCCAGTTTCGGCTACTCTTCTGTGTTCTTAACAATATGTATAATTGGATATTCCTGTGCTGCTGGTGAAGAGAAGAGTATTTTTTTTTTCCTTCTCAAGGAGAAGGAAACAATGACGTTAAGTACTGACAGACTGATTTAGATTATTGATACGCCATAATATTTTTAAAATATTGTTTTACGGTCTCGAAACTCCTCAGTTGACTGGCGATGGAAGTAACATAAAAGTGAAAGTCCTTCAACGCATCAATGATTTCCTTCTCCCGAGGAGCTGTCCAGTCCGGGGAGCAACCCTTTCGCCGGTCCAGTCCTGTCCGGACGAAATTGTCAGAGAACTCCCTTCTCAAAAAATAGTTTAGTGGCACGTGGAATTTTGTTATCAAATAAAGGTTTGCTAGGTTAAGGCTAAGCAGAAGCTACCGAAAAACGTGAAATCTTCGCAACAGTGTGCGACCCACCTCGTAGTCAAAGCAGGATCCGATGAGCATGCCTAGAGCTTGGCTCAGCACGCATACTTGGAATGAGAAACACAGGAAGAAGAAGATCCTGCTTTCTTCTCGGAGCTGGTGTGACAGGTAGTAGTTGAAGATGCCCGCCGCCAAGGAGAACATGAGCTGCGAGGGTTGCAGCAGGATTGCCCATATGTTGCAGCGTCAATGAATATCATTGAGGGGCTACGTGCAATAGTGCTACAAGTTCAAAAGCTTCCAAGAGGGAGACCCATCTTTCTCTCCCGTGCTGTCCAAGAGTTTTCATGGTAAAAAAAAACAAACAAAAAAAACATAACTTTAAAAAAACATTTTTTTTTAAATAAATCAGATTAATATGACTTAAATAAGATCGATTCGATTTAAATCACTGTGGCCATAGAATAGTACTTTTTAATGCATTTTAAACATACCAGATTGATTGATTAATCAGTGTTATCACTGAAAATAATGCGCAAGGAATTACTGTAATCTAAAGTACAGGTTAATTATCAACTTTTTATTGACTAAACCCCTCCGTAGTAGAAAAAAAACAACAAAAAAACAAAGCGAAACAAAAAAACAACATGATATTTCTTATGTTAGTGAAAAAGCTTTATTTGATTTTTCTTTTGCGGTCGCAAGAGGACATTACATAACTGGCGAACGAAGTTAATAGTAGAAAAACGCTCAGCGGTCCGATTTGCTCAGACCACTGCTTTATGCTTGTTTGCAACCTGATATAAATATTTCTTGCTTTATACTTTTTTGATTTAAATACAAAAAAAAAAGATAGAGAATATTAGATGATAGACAAACAGTAAATGCAAAAAAATATTTTGGGATTATTTTTGCGGAAAAGATTTGATTGAAATAGTCAACCGGTATATTTTAAATCATGATTTAAAACATCTTGATTTTTATTCTCCAGCCTGATATTTCTATTCAGCTTGACGTGAATGAATATCTGGAATAATATATCTACAAAAAGAAAGTGGCGCAATTACAATCTGCACTTTGAGGAACAGATATATAAGAAATGATAAAAGTCAACTCCTCGCGTTCAATTGCGTGATGTGTGCAGGCTATGAAAAAAAAAAAAAAATTAAATACGTTTACAATTCTCTTTAATACCGGATTGGAGCGCAGCTCTTGAGGAGGGGAAGGGGAGGGTATGCCCTTCCTTCCCTCCGTACCCTCCCATATTCATCTCCTGCTCCCCTCCCGTTTAGCGGAAATTGTTTGCTTAATTTCCCGCTAAATTTAGCGAAAAATTCCCCGCTAAGTATTCCGGGGAGATTATTCCGCAAAATTTTGCGGCGACCTTTTTCCGCTAAATGTAGCGGTAACATTTTCCCGTTAAATTTAGCGGCTAAATTTTTTCCACTAAATTAAGCGGGAAAATTTTCCGCTAAATTGACGTGTGACGTCACGCGACGTGACGGGGGACGTTAAACGTGACGTCACGTGAGACATCACGTGACGTGAAAATTCACGTGTGACGTCATTATAAGAAACGTCCCGCTAAATTTAGCGAAAAAATTGCCCGCCGAATTCAGCGCGAAAATTATACCCTCGTGACGTCACACGTGACGTCAATATGGGACACGTCCCATAATGCAACGCCGACGCCGACGCCGCTCAACCCGATAACGGGCGCCTAAGAGTTGCGCTCCAAAATCAAGGTAATCCAAACTGCGTAAACGGACACCAACCTGATGCGATCCTACATACACTGGTTTCGGGAATAATGTGCTGAGAGGGTTGGCGAGTGGTGTATTGAGCCGAAACTACTAACTAACTAGTAGGTTAAAGGTTAATGTCGTACACTACAACTAACGTAAAATCCACCAAAAGTCCTGTCATCATTTGAAAAGGCGCGAATGAAGGGCACTGTACACTATTGTATGGGTTTTCAATAGGGCTAGGCGTCGATTTAAAATGTTAACCTGATTAATAGCCACTCATTCATCGATTAATTAATCGGTTTCTTTCATTCTTATGTATAATGGTTTTTAAGAAGTCAGAATTACATGTGTGCCTTTGCTGAACATTTTATAAACGGCGCAATGTACAATTTAAGATTTTAAAAGAACCTTGATGTGTAGTTGAGAACATTCAGAAGACACCGACACTCACAAATCATTACTTCAGTCGTAAATAGAAAGCGTTTTGATTATAATGCAATTAATGCAAAGGCGCAAGCGAGCTGGACAACAATGACAATAATAATTCCTGCAAAAGGGGAACAAAGGGGACAAAGGTCAAACACAAATCTCCAAACACAGCTAGGGGACTGGCGCGCGACCGAAAAAATCCGCATTCTCCTGAACCAGGGACTTCTCCATTTCCAGTGGAGCGCTCTACCAACTGAGCTAACCAGGAGTTAGACGTCATTTGAGCGAACGGGTTTTATCAGGTGCCACCAGTCTAACACCAACAAGAATGAACGGCCTGCCTTTTAAGGTTATGATTATAATGCATTTAATTCGAAGGTGCAAACGAGCTGTACAAGAATGTCAATAATAATCTTTGCAGAAGGGGGACAAAGGACAAACACAACTAGGTGACTGGTGCGCGACCGCAAAAATCCACCTGGTACTGGAATCCAAACAGGGACCTCTCAATTTCCAGTGGAGCGCTCTATCAACCGAGCTAACTAGGAGTTAGACGTCAGTAGAGCAAACGTTGTCCAGCTCGCTTGCACATTTGCATCAAATGCCTTATAATCATAACCTTAAGAGGCAGGCCGTTCATTCTTGTTTGTATTAGACTGGTGGCAGCTGACGTCTAACTCTGCTGACGTCTAACTCCTGGTTAGTCCAGTTGGTAGAGCTTTCTGCTTCTTGCGCTCGCACCGCACAGACGTAAAATGGCTGGCTCCGATGGAGCAGTGATAGCGGCCAGCTCTGGCCGCGGCTTATTTGTTTTTTCCTCGACGGATGATTACCGTGTAGTTCTTCCTGCCCTGCCATCAGGAATCTTCGCTGCTAACAAAGTCTTCCTTCACTACGACGTGACCGGTCGTCCTTACCGGGTAGAACATTTCAGGGCCGAACACGAACCCTTGGGCGTCATGAAGAAGACCGCAGCGATAGGCGCCCACCAGATTAATCATCTGTGGATGCTGTCACTTCACTCGGCGGCGGCCAAGAAGGGGCTGGTCGAAGCACGAGACCTCACGGCGAAAGACAAAAGATGTCTTGTGATCGACCCGAACAAAACCGAAGTTCGTCTGAAAGCGCACTGGTTCCCTTTCCCAGTCCCCGACGACGCCCTGCGCAGGGTCTTCGAACAATACGGAAAAGTGCAGGAAATAACCAGAGACACGTGGAGGGCAGATTGCTTTCAAGGAATACAGTCATCTATCAGGATGGTTCGCCTCGACCTGAAGCAGGGTGTCACCATCGACAGCCTTCCACACCAGCTCAAGGTATGCGGCAGTAACGTCTTGATTGTTGCTCCCGGGCGTGCACCGCTGTGCTTACGGTGCAAAAAGACTGGCCACATCCGGAAGGATTGCAGAACACCCCGGTGTCAGCAATGCCGCAGATTCGGACATATGACCGAAGACCGCGTCCGCACGTATGCCGCCGTCACGGTTGCTACCATTCGAGACGAACCGCATGGCTTCGAGATGGATGAAGACGAGGCAGAGGCCACAGCACGTGGCGAAGGGCGCGAGGAACTACAAGCTCTAACTTGCGACGTACAGGAGAGCTTAGAAGCCCACCCTGCTACCAAGCCGGCTGAGGCAAAGATTTTGCCCCAGGTTCTTCCGGGCATCTCGGAGTGAGGAACCCAAGTCACGGAACTCGTTGCAACTGTTGAATCCACAGAGGGAGTGGTGGAGAACTCCCGGCACCCTACCCGCGAACCAGGCTCCGCAAGAAGCAACTGCCGTCGACACTGTCGACCTGTCAAAGACGGACGACCTCCCAGGATTCCCACCCCTTAGCCCCCAACCTTCGACGGACTCTCAGGACAAGCCACGCAAGGCTGACCAGAAGTGGAAGGGAGGACTTTCCAAAATAGGACGCTTTAGTCCTATGCCCCGCATTCCTCCAGACGACCGACGGCGTCCAGACCCCTCATAGGTGACGACCGAAGGAAGCACCTTTGGAAGGCCAAGTCTCACTCGCATCGCGGTGAACTTGACTTCATCGTACTTTCTGATTTCATTTCATCATGTTCTCAACTACGAAGCAAGCTAAAGTTGCAACGTTCAACTCGGTTAGCTTAATTTCGAGAATAAGAAAACAGTGGCTGTTAAATCTGCTTCTGAAAGAAAATTGGCCATAGTTATCTCGCAGGAGACTAAACTTCCTTCCGATGCCCATGTAAATGACATGACGCTTTTCTTTGATAGACACTTCTTTTCTTATCATGCGAGGGCGGTTGGGCGCAGCGGCGGTAGCACTATCTTGATACGTAAAGACAGAGGCTTCACAGAGTATCCCGAGTGTAAATTTGACAAGAACGGGCGGGTTTGCTCAGTGGAAGTTATCTGGCGGCATGAGTCGTTAAAAGTGATATCAGTATACGCCCCCAACAAAGCGTCAGATCGCAAAAAAAATTTTTTTTTCACCAACCTGCGGCAATATTTGGACACGCCGGTTAAAACAATTGTTGCGGGGGACTTTAACTGCGTTTTAAATGCACAGGATTGTTCGGGCGGCGTATAATCTGACTCAAGCCTCGCGGAACTTAGGAAATTATTACGCGACTTTGATCTCGTCGATGCAACCGACGGGTGTAAAGGCCCTCTTTCTGGATACGCGCATTGGCAAGGCGATTGTCACGCACGACTAGACCGTGTATATATGTCCAGTGAGCTTGCCAGTTCGGTCACCGCACACACGGTTTCCCCAATATTCTTTTCTGACCACGCAATGGTCAGAATGCGAATAGAAAAGGCGGACCGGCGAAAGGGGACGCCGCTTTGCTGGAGCTCTTGGAAACTTAACGAAAGTGTTCTTGACGACGAGGATCTGTCCTCTCAGATAAGAAATATTTTATCAGAAGCAACTGCGGAAAGGAAAGTTGACGCGGTAGTGTGGGAAAAGGTCAAGAAAAGATTTAAACTGCTCTGTCTCGAACACGAACAAACACAGGCCAAAAAAGGGCGCGAAACAAAGTATGTTGTACTACAAGCCCTCGAAATGCTAACTGCTGAAGAAAACAAAACTCCTGGAATCTTTAGGGAACACATACGTGACTGCAAAGAGCGTTTGATTTATCTATAATGGAAAGCGAATACAAAGTCGCAATGATCAGGTGCCGACTACGAGCACAAGAAAGGGAGGAAGATCCTTGCAAAATTTTTTAAGACCATGGAAAGAACGCGAGCGCAGCGTAGCAGGATAGACGCACTCAATGTCGACGACAAAGTGATAACAGAACAGGAAGACATTGAGAAGGAACTCGTAAGAGTTTTCCGATGACTATTTACTAAAAAAGACGAGGCGGCAGACATCCCGTTGGATGAGTGGTTCAAAGAGCTTCTAAAGATCCCCCCAAGTGTAAGGAAACACATGTACAAAAAAATCACGAAAGCTGAAATTGAGAGGGTTATAAAAGAGCTACCAACGCGAAAATCCCCCGGGATGGATGGTCTAGGCTCAGCCTTCTATAAAAAGTTCGCTGATATTTAAGCTCCAATGCTACGTGACGTGTTTGCTGACATCCTTCAAAGAAATCTAGGTCATGAGAAAGGCACTAACGGTTCTTATTAAAAAAACAAAAAAACAAAAAACAAAAAAAAAAACATTTTCACATCGAGCAATTTAAGGCCAATCAGTCTCCTCACCACTGATTACAAACTACTGGCGAGAATACTAGCCAAACGCATGGAGATGGGTCTGAAGATTGTTGTAGGTGACCACCAGGCCTATGGCTTTAAAGAGACGTCCATCACCTCTAACGTTCACGCTATGCGTATTACTCACCGAAACCGCTGAAGCGACAGGCTTATCCGCACGAGTGCTGCAAATTGATTCAAGTAAAGCCTTCGACAGGGTTTCACATTCTTTTCTGTTCAGTGTACTCGAGGCCTGTGGTGTCGAGAGAAATATAGCTAAATATATTAAGCTGTGCTATAAAGATATATCCACGCGATTATTGATCAATGGAATAGTAACTAAAAAGATAGCAGTGCAAGCCTCTGTCAGACAAGACTGCACACTCTCGCCAATACTTTTTTCACTCTATCTTGAGCCTGTGTGCAGAAGGAGTATTAACGATAATTGAATTCAGGGAGTCTCTCTTGCCAGAACTGCAAAGAAAATATTAGCATACGCGAATGTCGTGACTGCTGTTGCTGCGTCTCGACATGAAGTCGTCCTCGCCGTACAACACTTCCTTGATTTTTATGAAGTGTCTGGGGCCCAAATGAATCCGAGAAATCTATAGGCGCGTGGCTAGAAAATTTTAATGTAAAGCCAAAGCGTTTTATAAATATTACCTGGAGCTCAAGTATCAAAAACTACCTTGGTGTTAGTCTAGAACCTCACTGTTTAAGTACTGACAAGGAAGGAGTTCATGTCAACAGTTTGAGGGCCAAAGTGCTGGACTGGCGCGGCCAAAAACCTTTCTATGCTGAACGGTGCCTTTGTTTGCAACTCCGCTTTTTTCTCTACCGTATGGTATGCGGCTCAGGTTGCGCCGTTTCATGCAAGCGAAGTCCATAAGATGCATCGTTTTTGTGCTACCTTCGTTTGGAATTCTAGTTTTGAGCGCATGAGACACGCAAACATATTTATCAGTCAAGCCAAAGGAGGTTTCGGAATCGGGAATCTTGAGGCCAAACTGAAAGTTCAATGGTTTTTATTTTTTCGTGACCAGCGCAACTCGGTCATAGTGCGATCATTTTTAAAACTTGGCGGACGTCTTCTAGCCCCCTGGTTTGTTGTAACCCTAGAAGGAGCGACGTCAAGTGCAGTCCTGAGGTTCTATAAAGAAATCGCTGATGCCATTAAATATTTTGAAGCGCTCTCCTCTCGGCAATACCTGAGCAAGGTGCAAAGAAAAGCGCTATATTGGGACACCATAGACACTGTCTTTCCACCGCCACTCTATCACTCCTTCCAAGGGACCAGTGAGGAATCTACAGTCTTTAAGCGCCTCCGGAATTATCCCGTCCGAAAAGCCGCAATGGACTTCTTTATTTGCTTTCACATCGAGGTACTGCCAGTGAAGACGTGGCAGGAGAACAAAAAAGGATTTTTCTTTTCGTAGAATTTGAACTGCGCACTGTGTCCAACGCCGGGTCCCTCCAGCATGTCTTAATTTTTTGCCCAAATGCATGTTCTGAGCGGACTTACACTCTAAACTGCAAGTTGATTTGTACATAACCTGGCACAATGCAAAATACCTCGAATTCGGCACTGGCCCCGACAGTAAATGTTATGAAGTAATTGCTCTGCTCGGGTTGCATGCAATATGGAAATCCCGCACAGATCACCTCTTGATTCTTGAAGGGGGCAAGCCGGCGTGGTGCCACTTTGAAGAAAGCTTCATGATTGCGACCATCCTCGTTGCGGCAGCGAAAAACTGTGAATTAGATGGATGGTCTCATTTGGCAGCGCGTCTCAAAGCGCCGACGTCACTTCTTAGTCAGAGGTGATGGGTGCTGTTTTGTGTCATGTATATGTCAAACTGGAACGCTGAGCACTGCCTGTGTCAATATGTGTTTTAACTGTGTACATAGCGCACATTTTATGTAAATAAAAAAACCAAATCGGCAAAAAAAAAAAAGGCTCAATTGGTAGAGCGTTTTACTGGAAATGGAGAGGTCCCTGGTTCGATACCAGGACAAGGCGGATTTTTTTCGGTCGCGCGCCAGTCACCTAGCTGTGTTTGGAGTTTTTGTGTTTGTCTTTTGTCCCCCATGTTCCCCTTCTCCAGGGATTGTTGTTGTCATCACAAAGGGGTTCGTTGATATCTCCGCAGTAGGGAACCTCTTTGATGGTTCTCAAAAGTATTTGCTGCGTTAAACAGACACTCGCACGGTGTTGAAGTGGCTGGGACACGTATACCCTTCTCCACTTGTTTGGAGTTACAAATCTCGCGCATGCAGTTCACTTTAGGTCAAAATTTCTCCTAACGTTTGCCGTCATACAGGTAAATCTTATTCCCTCCTTCATGGTGAAAACGTAAAAGTTTTACTTGTTTTTTGTTTGTCAAAATTTAACCGGTTAAAAACTTAATCGCGATTAAAACACTAATCGATGAATCGGTGGGTTAATCAATCAAATGCGCAACCCTAGTTTTCAAGTAAATTATTTTTACAGCCACACACTGATGCCTGGCATTCAGAACTGCCTATGTGGCGATTTATGCAAAATGGGCGAGATGCACAGAGATTGTCTTGAAGACTAAACACGACTCACTTCGTAGACGATTTCAGAAAATATCCTGGCCATGAAATAGATGCGCTTGGAGTAGAGGGAGTACCGCTGCTCATGGATCGCATGCTGGATGAGCAAAGGAGCTGAATCAAAAAGGTTCATTCTAATGAAGCAACACATGGATCCGCATGTCCACTTGTCTAAATGCCTAGAAGCGCCTGCATGCACACTGTGCCACGTTGCACTAGAAAAACTAATCATTGGTCTTACGTAATAACCAGCTCAGTAAACGAAAAAAGCAAGCGGAAAAGACGTCGACCCTTAATGCCACTGAGACTGCATGAGTAATGGAGCAAGGAAGCGATTGCTTAACTCACTGGTTTAACGAACTAAATAAAAAAATGCTTGATGCTCCGAGTGTATCGTGGTGCACTATGCACACACAAGCTTTTGGGAGCGTTCAGCCATCACAAAACGTGAACGTACTCCCCGACTACCATATATTTTCACCGCTCCCTCATTTAGCTTATGTTATGTCGTGCATTGAATTATTCCCCAGTCATTTTAGATAATCTGAAAGGTATCGAGACCTCGTTGCCGAGTAAATTTATTAATATCAGTGAAACTACACCTGTAGACAACAATTATGGGTGAAACTATAGAGCTACGGGAACAAACTTACGAGCTATTAGAAAAACGGTGGACATATTATTTTCATTCATTGTTTTTAAGAGCACCAGGTGACTATAAGAAAGTTTGGAAAATATTAGTTACGTTCTAAGTAATTTTAGTTGGAAGACCGTTCTGAACGTTTCCGTGAAGATTTTAATTTCGTACGTCTCGATCTAACTGTGCATTTAGAGCGCTGCTGAATATTTCCATTCTAATAGCCATTTTTATTCCAGCTCCCTATCTTGCTATATCTTATCTCTTGGTTTTCTACCTATACGTTTTTTTTTTAAATCTGGCTTATAGGGTGAGCTTTATGTATGCCCAATTGTTGCTCATTAATACAAAAATATTTGTAATTAATGTTCATGAAAGTTAGTTGTACAATAATCGCACTTTTCATGCGTGTTTTTTTCGTTTTTCTATTTTTTAAAAGCACTGCGGAAACCACTGCCAATGTAATCGAAGCGCGGCCACAGATTCATAAACGATGCCCTTTTCCAAGCGTACGAGGCACTCATCACTTTTATGCGTTGCAGTTTTCGTCACTTTCAATATACCGACGATTCTCATAATTGGGGAGTTACCGCGACTTTTGCACGAATTAGAAATAAGAAACAGGCCGAAATCGGACAGTGTTGAGTTCTGAACTGTGCAATCTGAAAATGCCTCCTCGTCTACTTCCCCGTAAATCACGCTGTGAACCCATCACTGCAATCGAGTATACGGAGAGCCTCCGGTGAATGGCGGGGCACAAAAAATCAGGCAAACCATAAGAAGTCATCTGCGCGGTCGCAATGGGTCATGCTAACTTTCTTTCTGAGATATGAAATTTCGAAGCTCGAGGCGTCGACATTAAAAGGTTTCACAATGGTACCTTTCACCGCCATCGATTTTATACAGAAGCATGCACGAAGTAATAATTTGTTCTACTTATTTTATGAAAGGTTTACAACATATACTAAGCATATTAAGATTACAAAAAAAAAAAAAGATTGCTATAAAAATGACCTACAAAACACGCCAAGTAAACACATTTTACAAACACATTCACAAATTATTTACCAACCCACTACTTTATATAAGATGGTGCAAAATGTATAAAAATGCGCATATTTAAAAGCATTTTACGAATACGGTGATGAAAGTGCAGAGGCCATTTTGCATCAAATTGCGCAATCGCAAGTCACGCGAGACTAGCTGCGCTTGGTTGGTCTAGTTGATGAAAGAACAAGTACATGAAGCTGACGAACGCCATGATGTCGCACTTTTACATTGTTTGATTAGTCACGCTGGCTCGTAGCGTAGGCGGCGCTTTGACTTAGGCTTAAACGAAGATTCCTCGTCAACCGCGCCAGCCGGTTGATCCGCTTCCCGGTTGGCTGCCAACATCGTCTAAATTGCCAGACGACGCCGGCGATGTCAGGAGCCAAAGGTGGCGAGAAAACTGCAAAACAGTAGGATGGCGGATACTGCGATAAAACACAATCAGGGCCTTGTACTCCTGATGAGATCATTCGATTATCATTCCTTCCATATGCCTCCACGCCGTGGCTACAGAGTGCCGTGGCTACAGAGTGCCGTGGCACTTGTGCCGCACGCGTCAATCTCCACAGCCCCTCACCAGTGCGCGCTTCGAGCTTCACCACGTTGCACCGGAGTGCTAGGAGCAGCGGCACACGTAGAGGAACGCCTGCGTTGAAGTGATTGGCTCGGACCTTATGCTCAGTGCTATTCCAGGCCTACTTTCTTTTGTCTAGATTATAAATTAAACCTTTAATTACAAACAAAGAGCGATTCCACATCTTAAGAAATACGGTAGTCAAGGTTGTTTCTGTGCAGGCGGTTGATCGAAAGAACAACTAACTTTGATTCAACTCTGGCTCCAACGCCGCTAAAGAGCAGTGCCACGTTTAGGACGCGTTTGTAGGCCTTCATAATATTTGTGGATGGTTGTTTTTGCAGTTTAGGTTATCAGAGTCGTGACTTTGGCAGGTTCATAAAACTTGGGGTATGCATTTCTATTGGTAGACTTGTTAGCGTATATGCTGGTTTTTGCTCGTGTTTTACAGACATTATATTTACGGGCTAAAGACAATACCGACTGTAAAAAAGGGGAAAAGTGACGCTCTGTCCCAACCAAAGAGTTGCGCTGTGATTAATTTTCAATAAATTGTTTTAGCCATTGTAAATGGAACCTACTGTGACCAGAGCATTATATCCGAAAAGAAAAAAAAGTCCTAGGTGTGTTTCTTTTGCATCATTTTTATTCTTATTACAAAAATTAATAAGTAATATGCTCTGGAACCAAAAAGAAACCCTCACTTATTATTAAAGATAATCTCGTTTAACGACGCAATCGCTTTTTTGTTTCTCAAGTGATCTGCTATCAGATGTTGGCATCTGCTCTAAAAGTAGCTGTGGCTGCTCGAAACCAATATTTTGCCTGCCACAAAACCTGCTTCAGAAGGTCAAATGCCGCTTCAATCACTAAGAAAAATATAAACATACGATTAGCCAATATTGTAGTTGGTCTAATATTTCAGAAATGCACCTTATTTTCCTAAATGTTGCAAAATTGCACATCAATTAAAAAAATTAATTTATCTTTGATTTTTTTTAATTGTTTGTAGTATTTTGAAATAACTCGTCATGGCAAAATATTCAGTGACATTTGAACCTCAAAACATTGCAGCACGACGTCGGCTCCGAAGAGCCATTTTCTAGAACTGACAAAAGCTATACAGCGCGGTGCTCCTCCGCCATATGGTGTAGAAAGGCATGTTGTCCCTAGCTTAGCTTCATATTTGTTTCTTTTTGCGTTACCTCCTTAAACGTCCCCCCTCCCTTTTTTTTTTCCTAACGTGTTTATATTGAGTGTTTTTTCTGTGTGCCGTAAGATGCCGCGTATGCCTTATATCTCCATAATTATGGAGGATTTATTAGTTTTCAATGAAGCCCATCATCTTTTTTCTCGAAATTAAGCTTTAAAATGTATTAAATACGATGATAATTACTAAACGAAGTTATTAACATAATTATATAAAAAATCATATCAAGCTAATGGGCGGTGCATACAATTCTCAACTGTCGGTAACAGTGGCTGCCACCGAGGGTCTTTCGTAAGCGAAATGCTCAGGGATGCGCGGGGTGGGACAGCATGACTTTTTATACCCTACGATAGAGCAGCACCGCTGTACAATCTTCGTCAGTTCTAGAAAATGTCTCCTTGGAGCCGATGTTGTGCGGCGAGGCCCCGATAACGAAGACAAGCTCGCTCAATTTGAGTGAAGGTTTATTGTCTGTTTTCTCTTTTGGAGATCATATATTACTCAATGTTTTGCCATCAGAGGTTAGTTGAAGACACTGCAGACGGTTATAAAAAGTTTAAAAGAAACAAAAGATGGAGTTTTTTCTTTAATATTGTCGTGCAATATCGCCACATTTAGAAAAATTAACTGCGTTTCCGCATTAATAATACAAATAAAATAACGGCTAAGGATATATTTGTTATATATTCGTAAAACATATTTAAAGGTGCTAATTTTTTAAATATTTTATGTCATTTTGTATTAAGTAGTTGCATAGTAAATAATACGTGAATTTGTCCCTAAAACGTGTTTTTTGACGTTTTTTCGTATGTTTTTTTTTTCTCATGAAAATCTTTTATTGGAATTTTTTAAATGGCTTGTACATGTTGGATATTTGTTTGTAAAATAAGTAGGAAAAATACTTACTACGTGCATGCCTCTGCGGGATATTGGCGGCTGTGCAAAGTGCCATTGTGAAACCTTCGGAATCTCCACGCCCCTAGCTTCGAAATGTCATATCTCCGGAATGAAGTTAGCTGCAACGTTCACATACAAATGCTCCTCCCAAAAACATGACTTTAACATAGTTTTTACAGAAATATATAAAATAGGACCCGGATCATTATTATACGATGTGACGTGGAAACTCCCTTGTGTTCTCTCGTCATTCGCCTGCGATTTTCGCTTATCGCAGTGATTGGCGCACCGCAAACAGCGCACCGGATACCGAATAGCGCTCGTAAGATGGCCTTTGCTCACTTTTGACGGTGGCGTTGAAGAGCGAGAAGAGGGAGAGGAAGGCAAAGTGGAGGCAGATGAAGCTCACGTCCATGTGCACGAAGGAGCTGTCGTAGCCCACCGCCTTGAACACGTTCGCGAAGACGATGATGAGCGAGAGGTTCACGAACTGCCGGTACGCCATGTACACCTGCCGTCGCAACAGTATACCCCTGACACTGTGAAGGGGCGTCGGAAGGGCACGCGCCACAGTACCTCGCCAAAAACACTGCTTCGTTGTAACATTCCCCTACTGCAACATCGTGCCGCAATCATGCTCAGTTAACTCCCAACGTACCTATCGCTGCCCCGCAACACGAGCAAAGCAAAACAGTGTCAAATAAAATTCGAATGAAGTTTTACGAAACCGCTGAAAGCCAAAATAAACGACGGGGCCAAAATTTGAACTATGGGCCTCCCAATTGATGCACATACTGTCACATAGGCTACGAGTGGTTCAAAACGTTCATCATCAACTAGCCCACCAACAAGTATTTTTACCATTAAACTCATTTCTTGTCAAGAAAAAAAAAAAAAAAAAAACGCTCAGCTTTTTCATTTTCGTGAAGAAGGAAGACCAGCGGAGCTGTACTCGATACACTGTGTGCTTCTTCTTCGTTGTCGTCTGTTTTTCGCGCTGTTTCCTACGATCAATTCCCACCAACGCGCCCAACTATACATTCTTCTATTATAGCTGGAAAGGTTGCCGCCACCTACGAGCGACGGCAGGAACCATACTGATTGTGTGCTTACCGCCGTCGCTTATAGACGCTTTACACACGCGCCAGATTGAGCCGCCATAGCCGCCCTTCTCTTGTCTTACCGAGATGCCGAGCCACTGAAGCGGGCGTTGACGGGTCTTCACAAGGGCCTATGCTGGGCACAAGAACACAGTAGCATCTTAAATGGCAATAACCTGTCCTGCTGCGGTAATGATGAAGTGAAGCGAACGGAATAAGAGGGAACGAAAACTGAAGGTCAGTTATGGCGGCGCCCATGCACAGCTGCTGTAAAGGGTCTATAGATGGTGGTAGCTGTCCAGGTAGGTTTGTGTCGACATACACGGACACGAGCCTGGGGAAGTTAGCCCTTAACAGCTCCGCTTTAAAAGTTCTGCACATCAATCATAAACTGCGCGATGTAGTTCTGACAAGATTTAGTTCTCGAAGGAAGAATCGGTGCTTTTGGTGTTTGAAACGTGTGCATATCGATGAAATAATATGAAGCGAATCGAAGGTGTACCTACATATATCTTGATAACATGAAGGGGGAAATTAGTAACGTTCCGCGAGCAGACGGACTTTTTTACTACGGTTCTTGGGGTAAATAGCAGTATAGTAAGATGCATGACCTCTCTATCCAGGAAGTTTGATAATTATTGTGACGGTGGACTACTCCCTAGAAGAAGAGTAGGAGCGAGGTCAGTAAAGAAGAATAGGAAATGATTAAATGGAAATAACGGACTAGTAAATCGCTTTATCGTGAGTGTTTTCTATTGTCTTTAAAACAAACAAGAAACGTTACAATTATTGACTATCTATTTCCAGATACCACTTTTTGAGCGTTCATTTTTGTTATTGCTGGAATTATAGATTCTATTGTATTATTTGCTTTAATGTTTAAACTGTCGTTTGCTCTTTGTAAGCCTGAATGCAGACCTAACCCAGTTTGCATTATGCTTTTCTGGCGAATTCAATTATTTTTTGTTTGGTTTTCTATACGTTGTTTGCTATAATCTGTTTATTATGGAAGAAGGCTAATTTTTAAAAAGAAAAGGTCAAAGAACAGGCGAGCCGGTGAATGTTTACCATGTTACAACTGAACCCGAGACTGGGGTATGAAATAGAAACTTTAGCGAGGAAGGTACAGAAAACAGGGAAAAAGAGAATGCCTCAAACCGAACTGATTGTTCTCCTTAATTTAGCAATCTTCAAACTCCATTCAGGATAAAGCGAATTCATTATTGCGTTCGCTTTTTATTTGGAAGACCGACCTGGGAAGAATCGGCAATTTTCCGTATTTTTCTGTTTCCAGCAACTGCACTGACCTCGCTTTTAAGTCTTTTGTCCCCACTGATTTCACGGAAATATTTCTTTTCATTTGGATACCTGTTTCACATCACTTTTTCCATTTTGGTAATAGCGACATCTATAAACGCTACTCTCTCTTCAAGACTGACCTTTATGGCAAGACTATTAAACATTTTTTTTTCAGCCGTCTCCTCTGACCACATCGGGAGGGCGCCACGAGAGCGTACGACACGAGAGCGCCGACGGCAGAGCGAGTGACAGGAGAGCGCCATAGATGGCGCCGCGACAGCGAATCACACAACAGGAGAGCGCTGGGATACGAAAGCACGTGTAATTAGAAAGTTTTCAGCAGATGATCTTTCGCCCGATAACGACACGATGCATGCCAAAGGCCGCCGGAGGGAAGAAGAGGTATCATTATCGGGGCGGAAAAACCGATCTGCTAAAACTTACTATTAGAGAGCGCATCACGAGAGCGCTGAACAACAGCTGGTGTCACTAAGGTGGGTCCCTATCATTTCGTCGAAACTCGTTTCGTGGAATTACGTTTCGTGGACAACTTTTCGTGGACACACGTTTCATGGACACACGTTTCGTCGACAGTGTGACGTTTCGTCGACAATCATTTCGTCGACAGCACCACCGTAAAACGTTTCGTCGACAAACTTTTTTTTTTTTTTTTTTTTTTGCGGTTCCGAAAGGAATGCCGGAAACTTAAGTTACATGCGCTTGTAACAGATGAAAAACGCGATGCCTAGCGCAGTTGCTCTCCAAGGTGAGCAACTGAGCTATCCTCTGGCTCTCATCTGTGTCAGATGGAAAAGCAAGAGCGCGCAGGACTTCGCGCGCCTCCTATTCGGATATTTGCAAGTTCCGATGCCCGTTTATAGAACCGAAAGTTACTGGAAGAAGAAAAGTGGTGGAGAAAAATATCCGTAGGCACAAAGCAAAACTTCGATCCAATGGTGGGTTGCGGAAAAGGGCGTAAACACTTTTTTTCTTCTTCATATTGGTTATTTTTAAACAAAAATACAGCTTGCAGCCTTTTATTGCAACATTACAACCCTAATATTTGAATTGAAATTAAACATGTTCATTACCCTCAATTATTCAAAAGGAAAAGTGATGCAGTGTTTTACTGGCTACTGCGACTTATACGCGAAAAAGCTGTTTAGTCGCACTCGTTTCATCGTAATTTATCCTTAAGGGCCGATTAAAAAGGACATTAGACTATAAGGGGGCTGAAAACAATGTCAAATAAAAATAAATAACAAAAGCACGAAAACCAATAACACTCGCACTACCGGGAGCACGCTGCCCGCGAGTAAACCTAAAAAATAAAAAAAAATCTACATTACAATGCAAAAAATAAATAAATAAATAAACAAACACGAGAATTGGTAACAGATAAATAAAACAGTACACCAAGTTTAGTCGTATTGCACAAAGTAAACCATAGTTGATATCTAATGTGCAACTTAATGCATTATAAAGCTTCTCTCGAACAGCCGCCACATGCAAGGCCTTGGAGGCGATAGTACCACTAGACGAAATCTGTCGGCAGCAGCCGACTGGTCCTCACACGCGACATTAAATTGTTCTTTTATCGATGCCAGCAGACAGATACCTCGGGCAAGTTCGTGGCTCTTTTCATAAAAGAGCGGCTTCTAGATCTAATGTTCTTTGGTCACATATTGGTTTATGTGCATGCAAAATTTCAGTACAGGCATAACATATGCAGAACTATTGTGTTATTCATTATCCAGAAGCTAAATATGCTAAAGACTAAAAATCGTATGCGGCCTGGTAAGTACAGTACGTTGAATACCCAGTGTTTGGAGGAGAAAAAAAACCGTGTTTTATTACCGTAAAAGTAAACCACGCGTAGGAAAATGCTCAGTCTCCTTCAAAGTTTATTGCTAGCGGCTAAGACCAGATGCCAATTAGCTTGAAAACCGATTTTATGCCATTCTCAACGGTAGGAAGGCTGTGTGCACCGCAAACAGGCCTCGTTTATTCTTTCAAATTTGTTTTTTTAAGAGCTTCAGTGTTTTGACGTGTGGACTATCCATGCTATGTTCAGGTGGCTCTTGAGGATTCTGCCAAAAGACGTGACGCGCGGAAAGATACGCTTGCCCTGGAAATGACCCAGCCACTTTTTCAAAACAGTCGGAGTGCCGGCGGCCAGATCGCGAAGGGTTGCATTCGATGACGTACAGACACCTCGATCACGTATGCTGCCGAAAGCGTAGCCCTCAAGAGCAGCGCATGTTGTTGAATGTTTTAAAAATCTAACTTGAGAAAGGACGCTGCGCGCCGCGCAGGCGCAGAGGTCGTCAGGAGGCGCAGCTGGCGGAGCCAGGAGCTAACCAGGAGCTAGCAGAGCGAGCTGTCGACGAAACGTCGCAACATCTGTCGATGAAACGAGCGGGTGCTCGTTTCCACGAAACGATCTGTCGATGAAACATCGCAGTGTCGACGAAACGATTTGTCCATGAAACGTCGTTCGACGAACTCACTAGGGTCCCTATCATTTCGTCGAAACTCGTTTCGTGGAATTACGTTTCGTGGACAACTTTTCGTGGACACACGTTTCATGGACACACGTTTCGTCGACAGTGTGACGTTTCGTCGACAATCATTTCGTCGACAGCACCACCGTAAAACGTTTCGTCGACAAACTTTTTTTTTTTTTTTTTTTTTTGCGGTTCCGAAAGGAATGCCGGAAACTTAAGTTACATGCGCTTGTAACAGATGAAAAACGCGATGCCTAGCGCAGTTGCTCTCCAAGGTGAGCAACTGAGCTATCCTCTGGCTCTCATCTGTGTCAGATGGAAAAGCAAGAGCGCGCAGGACTTCGCGCGCCTCCTATTCGGATATTTGCAAGTTCCGATGCCCGTTTATAGAACCGAAAGTTACTGGAAGAAGAAAAGTGGTGGAGAAAAATATCCGTAGGCACAAAGCAAAACTTCGATCCAATGGTGGGTTGCGGAAAAGGGCGTAAACACTTTTTTTCTTCTTCATATTGGTTATTTTTAAACAAAAATACAGCTTGCAGCCTTTTATTGCAACATTACAACCCTAATATTTGAATTGAAATTAAACATGTTCATTACCCTCAATTATTCAAAAGGAAAAGTGATGCAGTGTTTTACTGGCTACTGCGACTTATACGCGAAAAAGCTGTTTAGTCGCACTCGTTTCATCGTAATTTATCCTTAAGGGCCGATTAAAAAGGACATTAGACTATAAGGGGGCTGAAAACAATGTCAAATAAAAATAAATAACAAAAGCACGAAAACCAATAACACTCGCACTACCGGGAGCACGCTGCCCGCGAGTAAACCTAAAAAATAAAAAAAAATCTACATTACAATGCAAAAAATAAATAAATAAATAAACAAACACGAGAATTGGTAACAGATAAATAAAACAGTACACCAAGTTTAGTCGTATTGCACAAAGTAAACCATAGTTGATATCTAATGTGCAACTTAATGCATTATAAAGCTTCTCTCGAACAGCCGCCACATGCAAGGCCTTGGAGGCGATAGTACCACTAGACGAAATCTGTCGGCAGCAGCCGACTGGTCCTCACACGCGACATTAAATTGTTCTTTTATCGATGCCAGCAGACAGATACCTCGGGCAAGTTCGTGGCTCTTTTCATAAAAGAGCGGCTTCTAGATCTAATGTTCTTTGGTCACATATTGGTTTATGTGCATGCAAAATTTCAGTACAGGCATAACATATGCAGAACTATTGTGTTATTCATTATCCAGAAGCTAAATATGCTAAAGACTAAAAATCGTATGCGGCCTGGTAAGTACAGTACGTTGAATACCCAGTGTTTGGAGGAGAAAAAAACCGTGTTTTATTACCGTAAAAGTAAACCACGCGTAGGAAAATGCTCAGTCTCCTTCAAAGTTTATTGCTAGCGGCTAAGACCAGATGCCAATTAGCTTGAAAACCGATTTTATGCCATTCTCAACGGTAGGAAGGCTGTGTGCACCGCAAACAGGCCTCGTTTATTCTTTCAAATTTGTTTTTTTAAGAGCTTCAGTGTTTTGACGTGTGGACTATCCATGCTATGTTCAGGTGGCTCTTGAGGATTCTGCCAAAAGACGTGACGCGCGGAAAGATACGCTTGCCCTGGAAATGACCCAGCCACTTTTTCAAAACAGTCGGAGTGCCGGCGGCCAGATCGCGAAGGGTTGCATTCGATGACGTACAGACACCTCGATCACGTATGCTGCCGAAAGCGTAGCCCTCAAGAGCAGCGCATGTTGTTGAATGTTTTAAAAATCTAACTTGAGAAAGGACGCTGCGCGCCGCGCAGGCGCAGAGGTCGTCAGGAGGCGCAGCTGGCGGAGCCAGGAGCTAACCAGGAGCTAGCAGAGCGAGCTGTCGACGAAACGTCGCAACATCTGTCGATGAAACGAGCGGGTGCTCGTTTCCACGAAACGATCTGTCGATGAAACATCGCAGTGTCGACGAAACGATTTGTCCATGAAACGTCGTTCGACGAACTGATTGCCACCGCACTAGGGTACCTTTCTTCATGACAGAACGTTCAACTCTCGGATCTCCTTCTATACAGCATTCCAAGATTCACAAGTCCTCAGCCCAGCGTGTAATCTCTTCAGGCCCCCCCCCCCCCCCCCCCCCCCCCCCAACATGCGCATATTCCTCACTTCGAAAGAGAGCAAATCACGTGCCATACGCACGAACACGGTTGAATAGAACCGGTCAGGAGAACTTTCTTTTTGGAAAGATCTATATTAACTGGGTTATTACACATCGGATTATCTGTTACGCGACAGCCAGAACTGCACGATATGCGAGTGCAGCTTTATATTTCGTCATTAATCATAGGAACGAGCGGACTGATTTCTCGCGTTCCAAATGCGACGTTTTCCGAACGTTTGCCAGAATTAAACATGATAATGATGTAACAGCTGCACGAACATTAGGCTCGTGCAGCCTTACTTTTGGTAAAGAACTAAAATGTTTAATATCACCCTCAAAAAAAAAAAAAAAAAAGAAAAAAAAGAAAAGCTGATTGCCAATCCAATATATTTTTTTACCCACATTGATACGTAAACCGATTTTTTTTTTTTTTTCTATGGGGGACAAAACTTGCAAGTAGAATTGTCTCGAGAGCGAAAGTAGTGAAACAATTTAAAATAAGTAATCTATAAGCAGCAACGATGACAATTGCGCGGTAATGTATTGTCTTAGGATAGATAACCTGAACAAAATAAATGATCTTAAATGGTGTGCCTACAGACCGCTGCTTTCAAGACGCTTGTGCCTCTACACCCAGCTTAATTTGCGTACTCAGTCAATTAAATGACATCAAGCTTTCGAAATGCGGCTCCATTTGGCGTCAAAATAGTAGCTCCGTAAAGACATGTGTTTGAAGACGCCAATATCGATCATTCCTAAGACGCGCACATGCGTACTGGTGACGCGCGATCTAATAACACGCGGTCTCATGTCACGGCGATCTCCTGTCGTGCGCTCTCCCGTCGGCGCTCTAACTCCATGTTGCTAGTTCTGTGCAATGCAGGCGAAGGGAACGCCAGGCGAAGAGAGAAAAGGCGAGCACTAGAAAGGCTGGACGGGAGCGGAGGGCAATGGAGGGCGAGGGAAAACGGAAAAGCATTAGGAACATTAGAGAAGAGAGGAGGTTTTTCTCCTCGTCCCCAGCCTTTCCAGTGCTTGCCATTTCTCCCCTCGCCTGGTGTTGCTTTCACCTCTACTGCACGCAACTAGCGAGACGGAGTATAGTGTCGTGCGCTTTCGTGCAGTATTACAGACTCGGGCTCAGTCTACGTTAGCTTGCGCTTTCTCGTTGCGATCTCATCTCTTCATTCTTTTAAGACTGCCGATTAGTACTGATATTTCCCTCCAATCAGACAGTTGGTTAGAGATTTGATTAAATTTGATGTGGCTATTACCGTACCGAACTCCTGTAGGTGTAGAAGATGAAACGGTTGAAGATCAAGGAAAGGTGGTCCCTGGAGTCCACTTCCACTCGTCCCTGAAACCGGTGAGAGTTTGGGATTCTTGTAAAGAAAATGTGGAATGCAAAATGCTACGAAACGACATGCAGCATTTAAAATGGTAACGTGGTATTTTTTTTATGGATTTGAATAAATCGCTTTGAATGTTCACTACACTGTTAAGTGAAAGTTTCAAACACGCTTGCCTTAATTAGGTTATTGTAAGTTACTCTATTACCAAAAATGGTGCGGTGTCGGTAGTCGGAGCCAAGAAGTGTTTGAACAGAACGACGAAGAACAAAGGGTGAACAAAATAAATAAGCAATAAGATATAAATGAAACAAATGGGTGACATTAATTTGGACAGTGCGCTTGTGTGAAATATTTTGTTTCGATAAAACGAATTTTTTAGGGGTTCTGACAGCTGCAGTTACGTTAAAGTTTCGATCTGTCAGTGCCATGCTCCCAGAAAATCAAAATCACACTAAAGTTCCAAACTTTTAATATTCTAAAAAAAAAAAAAATATATATATATATATATATACACGAGCTTTTTGGGCTTATCTTCGACAATACTCGAAACTGAGGGAATAACCAGAAAGGATAAACACACAAAAGGTTGACCATTTTGTTCTTAGCCCGAGACTGAGGCAGGAAAAGAGGAAAGTTTCAAAGTAGAAGAAAACTGAACTTTCCTCTTTTCCTGCCTCAGTCTCGGGCTAAGAACAAAATGGTTAACATCCACCAGCTCGCCTGCGCAATCACTACATTATCACAAAAGGTTGCTTTTTCTGTTATATAGACCTTTTTCACAAGGGCGCCTCCATCTTGAATTGTCGTCACTTCCAGTATGGGCGAAAACATTGTTTTTTCGCCGCCAAGCCAATAGAATGCATTTATGAGATAAGCGGAACCGTCACCCATTCTCGTTTTGTCTCCCCTTTATTTTTTTACTATTTGCAGATTGAAACGTTTGAATATTTTTTCGTCGCCCATACCGGATATGCCTACTTGGCGGTCGGGGGCGAGAGTAAGCGGAAAAGGCCTATAGATTACTCAGTCTCGCCTATCTCGCCCAGCTTTTTACTTTAGCATCAACGAGTTTACCTTGAAAGAAACTGCAAGAAAGTTATTGGGATCTTATTTTTAGTTTATCGTATTTGAGATTAAAAGACACAAATCGTAAATCTTTCTGACGTTCTTTAAAAGTTCTAACAACGTTATGCGTATTTCTCGTTAGCACACTACGTCTGAATGTAATAAAAGCAGGAAACGTTTCCGAAGAAGCGTCCCATACCTCTTAACAAGTAGAGCGTGAAAACAACATGAACATATTACCGACATCATACAATATTACAGCTGCGCTGTATTTTTTTGGCCATATTCCTTCATCTGAAACAAGTCTCGCCCAGTGACTCAGTGTTTCGGTAGTGTTTCTGCAGGTTTATAGAAAACTGGCCGCTCATATAAAGCTTGCAGTTATATCGATGTACGCACAGGGCCTTGTCATATCGGAGTGACAAGCGACAAACACTGTTCACAGACGCGTCAAATACAGATCTTTATTGTCAGCGACAGATTTTGAACGCGGGGCGTGGCGAGGGCCTATCGTCTTCTCATTGCTCTGTAGCCAACAAGGCGACACAGTTAGCCGAGAGCAACGCCGAGGAATGAAGCAAGGAGCGCGAGCATGCACGATACACCACGGCCCGGGCTTCTTAAGCTGTGCATTATCACCTGGCCACAAGAGAAGATGTCGGTGAGCATGTTCTATCAGACTACAACTGAAGATTGCTCGGGGCTCCAAAGAAGCTGACTCAGCCTTGTAGGTGTACAAGAAAAAACCGGTGTTTGTCACTCTATAATTCGTTGCAACATAAGGCAGAGCGGAAGAGGCTCCACCCACAAAATGCAACACTCCGCCCACTGCATCGAGACGCATTAGGGGAACCGCTGCATTTTGTAAAAAAAAAACAAAAAACAAAAAGCAAAAAAACAATGGAAATTGACGGAATTTTCTTTTTACTTGACGTCACAAAAAGGTTGCTTTCGAACGGAGTGGGTGGAGACACCGTTTCCCTCTGGAAGTTTGGGGGGCGGAGCCTAGCTCTCTCGTAGTTCTTCTATTTTAAGACTATGATAAGAACCTGCCAGAGAGTAGCAAAAGGGGGGAAAATGAATCGTATTTTCTTTCATAGATTGGCTAACAACCTCGAAGATGTTGGCCATGCTTCCCTTGCGCCTGCTGCTGGGCTTTGCCTCTTCGTTCCCGTCGTCGCCCTCCTTCTTGAACCCGGGATCGACCGTGACGACGGGAGCGTCGCTGGGGCCGGCCTCACTCGACTTGGCCTCGATCGCCTCCCTGGCCTTGATGGCCTCGGTCTCGGCCAGGGCCCGCAGGCCGCCGTGCATCTTGGCAGACACCTGGAGCACTGCGACAAAGGGCCACGCCGTCGTGGGGACACTGAAGGGAATAGAGCTGCTTGCATTTGAAGATGGACATTTGTTGAAGGTACCCTTCCAGGACCGCTATTACAGCCACGTGTCCTGCACGGGATTCTGATAAGCAAGCTGCATGTTAACGGTGCGAGACGCGCTCCAAGAATGAAAAGTGAATGAAAGCTGCAACTGCGACAGTCGGAAAATTTGACACGAAAGAACAATAGAACAACTGTGTCGTTTGTTTTGTATTTATTTATTTAGGAAACCAACCTGCAGCGCCGAAGGGTTATATACGCTTTCAGGCGGCTGTGCATGGGCGCCGCCATAACCGACCTTTAGCTTTTGTTTCGCCTTATTCCGTTCGCTTCACTTCATTATTGCTACAGCAGGACAGGTTATTGCCACTTTAGGTGCTACTGTGTCCTTCTCCCCAGCATACGCCTTTGTAGAGGCTTGTCAACGGCCGCTTCAGCGGGATCTCGGTAAGACAAGAGAAGGTCGGCAATGGCGGCTCAATCTGGCGCATGTTTAAAGCGTCTATAGCAGGTACAGCCTATAATTAATAACAACAACAACACAACAAAACTTGTTTGTGGAACCTGAATTGGTAACAGATCAATAAGGGCTGTTGATGAACACAAAATAAAATTGAAGGCAAGCAAGTTAAAAATCAGATTCTTTTTCTGGAAGAAGCAAACCCACGCCAGTACTCCTACTGGAAGAATCAGGCAATGCATTCCGCTCGGTGATTGTGTGAGGAAAGAGTTTTTCTAGACGAAATATTCCTTTTATTTTCATAAAAAAATCTACCCGACTTGAAATATATAGTTTGATGGTTCTAAATTGCGATGTTTGTTAATTCCTGTCATAATAATACAGATAGCATGGAAAAACTTCAAGTGCGGGTTTTTCTCATCCAATTATGATTTTAATGTTTGTTACACTGGCAATTCTATTATAGTTTTTTTGACACAAACGTTGCGGCACGACTTTGAAGATATTACAGCGTATCACTTTTAGTGTGGGTCCCACAAAACACAAGTGTAGTCAAGCGTTGGACTCACTAAGGAGCAATATATTGGTTTCTTCAATTTTCCGGGAGCATTTGTTACATCCTTTGCATGCGTTCCCTCAGTAATGGAGTACGCGATGCGAATGTGCTCAACTGGGATCGAAAGGCTTTGCTAGTCCAACAAACGCACTCACAAAATTCTAACGACGCTTCGGCTGTTGGAACTGCTCGAGGAATTGTTAAAAAGGAGACGACGTTCAACGACAATCCTTTGTGCGGCTGCTTACCAAAAGTAGAGCCACGAAGGACAGTGGGGCTCAGGATGGAAATGTTCCTTTGGTGCTAAACACATATATATGAACAATTTGGGCTCCTGGTAACGAATTATCCTAATAGTTTTGTCGCCTTAAAACTCAGTCTGGGTACCGCTTTGGTCCTCCATGTCGCGCACGCGAGAGTTTTCGAGCAAAGCTGTACAAAGCAAATGCGCTCTTATACCTGCACTACAATCGCACTACACCACTACAGAGTTCATTGACTTCACTCACGAATTAGCAGAAACCATTACTGATTGAGGGGAAACTGACATAGTATTTTTAGAATATGCTAAGGCATTCGTTAACTTATCCGAAACTGTGAGCAAAACTTCATAACACAATTAATAACACCCAAATTTTAAAATCGACCACAGCAGTTTTAGCAGGTAGGCATCAATATGTTTATTATATACACTTGATTCGGGCAAACTTCCCCTCTTATTAGGAGGATTATAAGGGTGAGTGCTTGGACCCCTTTTATATTTAGTTTACATAAATGATATAACGACTGACATTGATTTTTTCTTTCAGAATATTTGCAGACGACTGTTTCATATATCATAAGTTAAACAAAAGACAAATTTAAATCACAGGACGCGCTCACTGCTATCTACTGCTGAAAAAAAAAGGCAAATGGAAATGCGCCTTATAAAACAGCTGTTATGACTATTCATGTCGTATTACACCTGAGACTGCGGTGGAAGAAATCGGAAGAACTTTCAGTAGAAGGAACAGACACAGAGAACGACTCAAACTCAGCTAACTGGTTTATTTCTCAAACAGCCTTTAAGTACCCACGGAACTTTTTCCCAACCACACTCTACAGATAAACTCTTTTGTTGCAGACATTTCAAACCGGATGGATACAAAAGATTGTTATGACTATATAATTTAAAAAAAAAACTATTAAATTGAATTACTTTCTTGGCGGGCTAAGGGTGGATGGTGTGGAGGAATATACATATTTAGGGATTATGTTCAAGAAGCTTAGCTGGAGCCAGCACCTAAAAACAAAAACAGAAAATAAAACCAGAAGCAATGTGTTTGCACTCAGAAAAAGATTGCACATTGTGATACTAAGCTCATAGCGTAAAAAAGTTTTGTAAGACCCATTTTACATTACGCGAGTTCAGTGTGGTGCCCTTTTACTAATGATGGAACTAACGAAGTAAAGCGCATTTAAAAGCGAGGCGCTCAGTTTATTTATTATTGACGCTTATAATACTAGATTATCATCAACTTAACTAGTAAAAAAAAAAAAAACCCAGCTTCCGACTTTACACACACAAGCTATAATTAACAGATTGAAATTTCTTTATAAAATCATGAATATTTTTATATAGATAGCTCCAATTACTTAAAACCTTTACAGTCCAAATCCTTACGAATAAATCATTGCCGAGCATTAACACAATACAGGCTTAAAAATGATTGCTTTCAATTTTCTTTCTCCCCTCGGGCAATTCTGGAATGAAAAAAAAAAAAACTTAACAAATAAAAGTCTGTCTTTGACGACTTTTGATCACTTTGTAGATGCTATTGAATTTCATTTTAGCTAATTCTTTTGTTGGCACGTCACTGCTTTATGCTGTTTTGAATTCTGTAAGCACTACTACAGTAGCTCCCTGAATTGAGCTGGTAGTTTTCCCCATTAAATAAATAAATGCATCACGCGTCTACCTTTTCGCCGCGCGGGGGAGGGGGGAATATTGCGATATACAGAACGCTGCGCAGGAAAAGTGAGTAAGTGAAACGTCATACACTCTAACTTGAAAGAAGCCTGTGTGCTCACTTTCTTGTCGAAAACGCAGATAGCAAATGACTGCAAACAACGGAAGGATTCCAGCAAAGGACGAAGCTCAAAATACGACTAGATCTGAAAATCGACATGCGCGCAGGCAGGTGAAGCTTCATGGCCCTTGTCCGAGCCAACTTTACTAAAACTCTCAGTTGGGAAACTTATCCTTGAAGCCCGGACCGCTCGCGTCCACCAAGACCAAACTAAGAACAATAACAGCGCCACCCTTTAGCGGCTAGTCAAAACATGAAAGTTCACTTATATTGCTGCTGCGAAATGGCACTGCGAGATGGCGCCGCCGGCCCTTATGCGACTCGACCTGAACCGATGCGGGCAGACGTGCAGTTCCCGGAGTGGCCGCCGTGCGAGAAATGGCGGCGTTGCGATCGCCATTAGTTCGGTCCTCGATTACGGATGATCGCGGATCGAAGCGACTCTTTCTAAACAGGCTCTATGGCAGTTTCCCAACTGAGTTGTTTTAGTAACGTTGGTTCGTGCGTACATCGCATTTTTTGTTAGGTCAAGTGCTGTAAGTTTGGTCGTTCCCTGGGATTCTACCAATGTTCGCAGTGATTGGCTATCTGCGTTCCGAACAGGAAGTGAACACGCACAAAACAATTTTTTTAAGTCAACTTTTTAGCGAGTTTTAGACTTGCTTACGCAAAAGCTTTGCGTACGGAAACAAATAGCGTCATGGCCACTGCGCAGGCGCCGAGCCAAAACCGCGTTAAAGATTGGCGCATGACGGTAACGCTATTTCTCTGCGCACGCAAAGATTTTGCGTACGCTATTATAAAACTCGCTAATAACGTATTTTAGAACAATGTCCATGTTCAGATTGCGTTTTCAAGCCCCGCCATTCATGCGCCCTGTAGATCTCTGTGATTGGCCCGTCGTGAAATCTGTGGGAAAGGCAGTTTTAGTGTGCAAAACTAAAAGCTTGTCAATCTGTTGAGTGACGGGCAGGACGCAGTATTAAAAATATCTTACTATATTCTGTGATGGGCAACTCGGCGGGACAAACGAAGCCGTGGGCACCCAGGCTGCTTTTCATCTCCATTGGGCTTCCGCTGTAGATGAGCCTTCCTTCAGTGAGCACATAAAGCTGTGCGGGCAACCGTGGAAAAAAAGTATTAAGTTGTTAAGAATACTTAGTGAACGGCGTGACTCGCTGATCAATAATTATGCACAGCAGGATATATTGAAACGGATTAGGGGCGACGATGTTTGCTCAAATAAAAGAAACAGCTCATTGCAAAAACATTCTGAATTTACCTTCATTCTTTTTTGTCTTTTAGGAACATTCGATCGCGCATAGCCATGGATAATATTAACCACAGATCAACTCAAGTCAAGTAAAAACATGTATTTGTTTTTAGCAAGTTTTTAGTTCAAAGGATATTTATTCATGCAGGGGCCCCAAAGCTTTCAAAGAAAACTGTCGAAGGACCTTTTGGCAATAAAGGGCCAGTTAACAACCAGAAGTTAGCCCAGCGTGTAACGTATCTCTATCTCTCTCTCTCCCTAACTTTCCTCGTATTTGTTTAATATGAAGAGACTGTATTGTTTAAGCTATATTCGGTATTTATGGATTGCAAAGCCTTCAACGATAAAGTAGTCTTGGTCTAGCAGTAAAATGTACGCGCTCCGCCATAAATAAATCGAAGGTGCAAAAAAAAAAAAAAAGTTCCTTCCCGTAAGTTGTTATTTCTATGTCCGATCAATTATAAAAAACGCAGAAAGGTGTACTCTTGGAATGTTTTGCGTCTACTCTGGGAACGAATCGGTTGGGAGTAGTGATGATGGTCTTCTTTGAATTAGCTCGGCGAAGGACGAAGGCAAGCAACTACAATGGCACCTTAGTAGCAAAAATAATTCTTTTTTTTTTTGCCATTGAAACTGCATTACATTGGATCAGCTACCAATTGGCTTTCTCATTGGCTTTACTAATTAAGAAAGACCAATGATTGGTTATAGAGTGTGTCATGGTGCTGTATACAGTCAGAGAACTCTAAAAGTGCGGACGTCAAGGCCTTAAAAACAAGAAAACTATTGTCCAGGCAGACATTAGCGGACTTCGATCGTGCTACTATTTTTTGTATTGACATATAGGTCAGAGCGCACTTGCAGAATCGAAAACACACAAAACGCAGACACGCATACTATAGACCGACACGCGGAGCGGCTCTGTTTACCAACACGGCTGGAAGGCCGCGCATGCGCGGTAGCTATGTGGGCAAAAGCATCCCGGCTCTCCGTGTTTTCGCCATTGCGCTCTATGGCGTGCGCTCGTTGTTGACGTTGCAGGGACGCTTGTATCTTTATTTGTGCGTCGTATTTCCTCATAACGTATGTCGTATGCTATGCCCGACTATTTGAGCTCGTTGCCCGAGCCTGAACGGTAGCGGTATCGAAACAAACTGTGCGTGGACGGCGTTGCCTACGAGGATCCGTACGCCGTAAACAAGGCCTAGCTAGGTGTTGGACTTCCGACGTAAAGTTGCTGCCACGGAAGTCGACGGCTCAGGTCGTCGTTTATTTAGTTTTCGCCAAGTCAGTTCACGGCCGACAGGGTGCAGGCCTACAAGTCTCTCAAGGCCTACGATTACATCGAGTCGGTTTCCGCACTGCCGGCTGGATCAGCAGACTGTGGGTCTGCGGAAGTGTGTGTACATTAATTGATTAAATACACAGAGCGTCTTCAAGTCAAGGTATGATATTTTTCATACCCTCGTGACCACAAGGCATTACAACCAGTAAAGGTTTGTCCGTTCTGCAGTCTTGGCGGTAACAGGTTACAAGTAACGGCGTTACCAGGAACGCGTTACTTTTTTCAGTAACGTAGTTCCCTACTCGCTACGTTTTTGACACAGTAACGGGTAACGTACTTATGCTACTATTTCAAATAACGTAGTTACGTTAGTCGTTACTACTTCCCATGTCTTAAAGAAATCGCACTTCAATTGTTTCCGTGTTTTAGGCGTGAAGCCATGTTTTCTTTGCGATTTTTCTCGTAAGTATTTAGGTGAAACCGTAAAAAGAGATAAAGTATTTATGTTCAGCTTCTGCTTGATATATGACCTGTATCGTCCATAGAGTTATTATAATGTACGCTAGAGGTTCAAGTGGCGCTAGTGTGCTGACGCAAATTGAAGCAGACAGCAACCAGTCCAAAATTGACTTCCGGTAATGCATTCCTATGGGAAAATGCGAGTGCATTTTCTCACTGCGCTCAATCATAAGAGCAAATATCGCAAATAATTCGTACGTACTAGGTAGCTTAGAACATTTTTCAGTCAGGCCGACGAAATAATTGGTCAGTTACGGTGTTTTTCTTTCAAATTCATCGCATTAAAAACGGTGCTAAAACAGCTTCGTACGTGTATTTATGTGCACTGTCGGACACTGTTAGCGCGAACACGACTTCGGCGCTTTTCAGCGTGGGGGGTATACGTGCCAAACGAAAGAAGAACATCTGGAAATTAAGAAAGACGGCAAGAACTACGTAGTAACACCGGATCAGTAACTACACGTGCATATACGATCAAAATTAATTGAAGGCCGCGTAATGTATTCCTATTTTAAATAAGTAAGTACCGTTTTATTCTTTCTGCTCTGAGCGAAGCTGCTTGTTCTACGTTCAAAATATCACTCGCACGCTCGAAATCTTTGAGAACAAGTGCCCGATAAAAGCTGCCTGGCAGAGAAAACAATATGAAGAGACAACTTTTATAGCCCACGGACTTTATTCTCTACGTTTTGAATGTTTTTATCCGCTCATGCACGACGGGGTCATTTTTATATAGTGACAAGACTGGCATATTATCAATATATAAGCGTCACCGGATTGCTGGCGAGCCTTGAACACACTCTACATTCCTTTCGATTGTAATTTTGCTTCGAATCGTCGCTTGTTTCTACACACCTGCTGGGGAACACACGTTTGGGACTGAAATGTAGCGAAGTTAAACATCGGTCACTGATGAAGAAAAATGCGCTAACTAAAGCAATTACACTTTTACAGTCTTAATTAAGGTACATACTATTCGGTACGACCCAAATAACCAAAGTGTTCCGTGTTATTTTCCGGCGAAGAGACAAAATGCACGCGCGCTTTCCCATAGGAATACACAGGAAGACTGGAAAAGTAGACTGGTTGCTGTCTGCTTCAATTTGCGTCACGGAAGTCGCATAGACACTAGCGCCAGTTGAATCTCTAGCGTACATTATAATAACTCTATGGTATCGTCAAAACCGTAAAATGTGTTAAATCATAATTTAAAAAAGGAACGCAGAAGTAACGTGCGTTACTTTTCATCGGTAGCGGTAACGCGTTTCTTTTATATTTAGGTAACGTAGCTCAGTAACGCGTACCTTTTATTTGCAAGTAACGAGTGACGTATTTCGTTACTTTTTTTCGGTAACGCCTACAACACTGCCGTTCTGTCGCCGATCCCCTTCTGCTCGGTAGCACGTGCGTAGCGAGCCCCCGACGAGCGCTTGGCCGGTGCGTTGTGCGCGAACACCGTGGGAACAAAATCCGGGTGGTCTTGATCAGACGACGGTTTCCCTGCACATAAGCAAGCCTCGCGACGGAGATTGAAATGGAAGCCGCACTTGCCTCCAAGAAAGTGTTTGCCGCACAAACGGTCGTTCGCGCGAGGCGACCATTCTTTTCGATCCACGGATATTATCCACCTTCTATGCCTTTCAGAGTCTGCCGGGAACTTGTGGAAACTCACTCCGCTGCTTTTCTTGTACATTTCGGTGCAATTAACGACAACACAACTTCGCTACATGCTGAAATGCTATGACGCCCATGCGAAACGTGCGCGCTTTTGCCCACACCCCCCGGCTCCGGCGCGATCGCAGCGCCGCCGCAGCTCCGTGACGTCAAACCCGCGTGTCGGTGTATAAAGCGCAAGGCGGTGCATATTTTCTGCTCAATTAGTTTGTTTATTCGATGATAGTAAACGTCCAAAACTATCACAGACGTCATGACGTTGCAATTTTGGCGTTGTTTGATTGGCTTATTCAACTCGTAGCGTCTTAAGGTGAATAAGTGTAGGGCGAGTAAAACTCACCTTGTTGAAGTATTTCATCATGTTGATGGAAGGGTTCGAGATGACGGCAACGACCGTGTGACCTTTGTAGGCCAGGTACTTCAGCGTCCTCATGCAGATTCGCGCCTGAGAAGCGTCGACGTTCCTGAAGGAAAAAACGGGGCAGTGACTAGTTGGTTTCCCATAGATTTTCGCTCTTGTCAAACATGCATATTTCCATGAACGAAAACTGTATTCCGTGCTGCTAGTTGCGTGCAGTACAGGCGGAGGCTACGCCAGGTGAGGGGAGATAGGGCTAGCCCTAGGAAGGCTGGGGAGGAGGAGAAAAACTTACTCTTCTCTCTAACGTTCCTAGTATACTTCCTTCGTCCTCCATCAACCTTCACTCCCATCCCGCCTCCGTAGTGCACGCCCTTTCCTTGTTCGCCTGACGTTGCCTTCGCCTTTGATGATGATCCGTTGCAACTCAACAAGGTAGGGCGAAGAAAAGAAAGGCGAGGGAGGAGGAAGCGGACGGAACGCTGGAGAGGGGAGGGAGAAACCTCATCCTCTCTCCAGCGTTCCACCTGCTTTCTTCTCCCCAGCCTTCCTTTCCCTCGCTTTACCTTCTTGAGTTGCAACGGAGTATAGTGACACGGAGTATAGAGTGATACTAGGGCCTGAAAATGCATGCTTAATCAGGCGCCGTTGTGCCTATAAATAACAGAGTGTCACCGTACACAGACGACGAAAAGAGGGAGAGTGCCCGCGCAAAAGGCATGGAATCTTTCGCCTTTTCTGTAGACTCCCGACAGTCGCGAAGCTTTAATTTCGAAATATTGTTGAAATTTTACGTTGAGTACGTAACGTAATCTTCCAGAATTGAAGGAGTTACAAGGCAAGAATGAGAGCAATTCAGAAACGCATTCAAAATGCTAAGAATATTAATATCCCCAAATCTGAAGACGCGCAGTCTTATTGCACCATACCCTCGGCGGTATTAGGGCAGCGCTACACCGGGTAGAATGAAAATGTTTTCTTCAAATACTAATGTAGTCCCAAATTCGGTGCTTTTGCCATTATCTATTTTTAAAAGAGAAATAAAATTGATATTATGGCGTACTTTACTCGAATATACGATTTAGGAGAAACTCACAAATTGTCCAAATCAGTGCCCTAGTCAACCTGTCAATTTACTGACCTTTGTTATCCGGTGATTGATGATTAAAAAAGAAAGTGGCTGGTTTAGTTCATATAGCCCTAAAAAATGAACAACTTCGGCAATATGTTTATGTATATGCCCAAATACAAATTTAAAGATTATTGGACTTTTTAATATTTTTTTAACGGTGACAGAGGCTTATTAGAATTGATCTCGATGAAATGTTGGAACAAATCCTTAGGATCAAGAGGAACTTAATAAATGAGAAAACAAACATTCATAAAGGGCAATTGGCACGTAGGATTCCTCCCTTGGTGCTAAAGTGTCCTAACCTCGCAAATACAACCCCCCCCCCCCTTTTTTTAGACAAAAAAAAAAAAAAAACGATCGAGCCGTTTTTTTGTTTAAATTCTCATTCTAAAAAAAATCCATAAAGATTTTTTATTTTTTATTTTATTTTGAGACGTGCCCCTCACCTGGTGGGGTCGTCGACGAATATGAGGGGCTGTGCGTTGATGAGCTGCTCGGCGCACGTGAGCAGGCGCTTGTGGGTCTTGCTGATCTTGGCCACTGGGACGCGGCGGACGTCCATCAGACTCCAGCGCTCCATGGCGTTCACTACCTGGTCGGAGAACGGAAGCAGATACAGTACGACGCTTCAGTGGCCATGCATTTTCCGTGCCCAAAGCGATAGATGCATTTTTCGCCACTAAGAGCACTGCAGGGCCATCGATGGTCGACACCTCTCGTCCCCCTCATTGGCTCAAACGATTAAAGGAAGACCTGTTAGTGTCCTAATTTGAGTGTATAACAGCACAGATGCAGGAACTTCCAAGAGTATGAACGTTGACGCGTGCCTATGATATCCATGCATGAAATCTGCTTTGTAAAACAACGTCAAATTGTAATTTAAAAATGAAGGGCGTTTACAATTCCCTTTAATGCCGAATTAGAGCGCAGCTCTCGAGGAGGAGGAGGGGACGATGCGGAGAAGAGGGTATGCCCCCCCTCTCATTCTCCTCCCCCTCCTTCCCTCATCCTTCCCCCCATTTCTCTCTTTCTCCTCCCTCGTGACGTCACTCGTGACCTTCGTGACGTCACTCGTGACCTTCGTGATGTCACTCGTGACCCTCGTGACGTCACTCGTCAGGCCTCGTGAAGGTCACTCGTGAAGGTCGTGGCCTTCACTCGTGACCGTGACGTCACGCATGACCCTCGTGACGTCACCCGTGACGCCCCGTATGACATCATTATGGGAAACGTCCCATAATGCAACGCGCGGTTACGCCGATGGCGACGGCGACGCCGCTCAAGCCGTAAACGGCCGCCTAAGAGCTTCACTCTAAAATTACGATGTGTGTTGAAATAAGTCTATTGAATTGGACTTTACCAAACAGCCCATGGGGTTCTTTTCTGTGTCAAGAAGGGTAACTTTTGATGTCATCCTGCATCAATGACTGGTCCACTAAGTAGATCTCGAATCAGTACGTGTGCCGTGATTTCTAAAGAAACACGCAATAACAAAAAAAGAAAAAAAAGTTTCGTCTATACACAAACTCATCTCTGTTACGTCACGGCGCGGTGGTGGCGCGTCGGTCGCACTTCCGGTCTGGGGCTGTGGGCAGAAGTCCCCATGCCAGAAGTGTATTCCTGCGTTGTTTTGAAAGGAACCAGACAAAAACCTGCCTTCTCGTCAAAACGCCGCGACTGTGGCCGTACCAAAAGTGTCGAGAAAGGTTTGAAGGTCAGTTCTCACGTGCTCGGTTCGTCCGAGAATCTGGATATGTGCCGTGAAAAGGGAAAAGCAGACGCCGTCGGACATGGATTGCTTGGGCGGGAAGCACTTTGGGTTGAATTCACGGATACTTGTGGTCATCAGATTTATTTGTTTTGTTCCAACATAAACAGAAAACCGTCAAGTTGTGCGGACCACCTGCGGACCACGTTCAGTGCGTCTTCAAGTTCAAACGGTCGCCCGATTGTTCGAACTGTCGTCTGCTCTTTCAAACGTTTCTGCTTGTCGTCTGCTCTCTTAGTCGACGCCGGCCCGTAGACCAAATGATGGCCCGGTACTTACGATAAGACGTAAGTGCAGGCCTCAAAAGACTTAAATTTGAAGGTTAGTAAGCAGGCTCAATGTAAACAGTAGATACAAGGAGATGTTGATCATTGTTACCAGTGCCCATCACCGATGGTTATGCCTAATTCACTTGGTCCGATTCTGCTTGCGATTTTCAGTATCGACGTCACCATCTCCACTACGGTTCAAACTTTTGCAGTCCGAGCGGCGTCGCGACTGAAAATTGCGAGCCAAATCTCATCGTGCGAATCAGGTACATACTGCGGCGTCCACGCGGAAGGAATCGCGACATGTCACATTATTCACGCGAAGTTTTGCGGTGTAACGAGCCTCGGTAAGTTCGCCGACGCCGCTCAAGTAGTCAGACATCGCCAGAAAGACGTAGAATCAACAATTCGAACGCGAAAAAGGGCAGGGGGACTCACACCAACGCCGACAACACCGCATTTCAATGGTTTGTTTATGGGCGACGGCGAGCTTTTTGCCCACACCCCCATCGCGCATGCGCGGCGCCGGTGGCGTCCGCTAGGGGCGCTCCAGTTTGTTTGTAAACATGAGTTGGTGTATATTTCTTTAGAGCGCAGCTCTTAGGCGCCGGTTTCCGGCTTGAGCGGCTTGCCGTCGCCGTCGGCGTAACCGCGCGTTGCATTATGAGAGGTTTCCAATAATTATGTCACGTGTGAGGTCTCGAGGGTCTCTAGGGACACGAGTGACGTCACGGGGGAGTGGGAGAAGGAGGGGAGGAGGAGGAAAGGGGAGGAAAAGGGAGGAGGATGGAAGAGGAGGGAGGAGAAGGAGAAGAGGAGGGAGGAAGAGAAAAGGGGGAACGGAGAGGGAGGAGAGGAGGAAAAGGGGAGGAGGAGAGGGTACGGAAAAGGAGGAGGGCCATACCCTCCTCGTTTTACCCCCGTCTCCTCCTCCTCAAAAGCTGCGCTCTAATTCGGCATTACAGGGAATTGTAAACGTCTCATTTTTTTACAGCATGCGTAGGCCCAGCTAGTGGCAAAGTATAAAAAGCGACTTGACTCCAAAACGCATTTGGCACACTACAATGTGCAAGCGAAGCATTGTTGCGTCTCGGGTCATCACTGTTGCATCTGAGGTGTTCTAGACTTGACTCGGAAGTTAAAATGGTCCGGAACGGTTGGTGAGAACACTAACTTTTTATTGAATTAACTGATTATTACTTGTCCAAATTTATAATAATGAAGAAAGAGCGTTGTCGGCGTCTGTTCAGGCCGCTGGTCCCATGTCGTCTCGCTGCTCACTCCGTCTCGGCTCTCCTGTGTCGTCCTGCGCCTCATTCTTTTGTACCCTCGTGCCGAGGGTTACCTCGCGGCTGCGTGAAGTGGTGCAACCGCGAGGCAATACGTCAGCCAGATGAGACAGCAGTATTGGCAGTGCTATGGTGTGATTTGCAAGATGTTATCTAGTGTGGTGCAATGGATGTCGCGGGGACTTATGTAAGCGTGCGGCAACATCCGTCGACGACGCAGCACTTGAGCCGGGTAAGGTAATCTGACGCTCTCCGGGGCCGCTCGATCGAGCGGAGAAAAGTTCTCTCGGGAGCCGCTGGGTCGGTGCGTGCGTACGTGACCACAGTACTCCCTTCCAGAGAGTAGGCGAACGTTTAGAGATTTCCGTTATTCGAGTCTAGGCTTTCGTCTTGCCGCGGGCACGCGAGTGAGGCGTGTAGCAGGTGTAGGAGGAGATGCGATGCCCAGACGCTGTGGCACGTGGCAGCCGGAGCGTGTCTGGATCTCCGGTCGCTGGACGTTCGGGCGATGATGGTTTGGGGTGGACGACGAGAAGAGTTGATGCGAAAGATAAAGATTTCGATGGTAGGCGGCGATCACTTAGTTCTTCCCGTGAGTGCCGACCGTGAGTGGCGCCGGTCGGTGCTACAGAACCTTGTGGGGGCCGTCGTGGAAAGCTGAGGGCGTAGCCCGTGCATCACGTGTTGCAGTCTCTGTCGGACGCGCGTCAGTTTTCCGTACGAGCCAGGAGCGTCAGAAGGGCTTGTGGGATTCTCCTCTTTGAGGGTACACTGGGCGCTGGCTCAAATGCCAGTATCACCCGGTCGGTTTCCCGCGCTGCCGCATTAGTCAGATTCACGGGAAGTCGGAGGCCCACAAAGAAAAACAAAGCTCCGTAGAGCCAGGGCCTCCGCCGACGAGAGCCCCTGGCCCACCTTCGGGGCCAGCTTATGTAGCCTCGGAGAATGGACGCGCCCGGGGAGGCCACTAACAGTCGCGTCCATTATAACTCTCAAGGGTGTGCCGAAGGCGCGTTCACCCAAAATGGGCAAGGGAGAGCCGGCCCCTTCGGGGAATTCGGCCTCGTGGTTCCTTGTATCCGGGAGGCCGACGCCATTGGTGACGACGGCTCCCACGGCCTGCTCGAAGCTAGGCCTGGATAGGGATAGAGGGAACCCCATGGTTCCCACACTCCCCCCTTCTCAAGGCTAAGGTAGGCCAAAAAATAAAACGGTCTACCGGCTCTCAGAAACAAAATAAAAAAAAAAAACTACCGCGTCTGGTATTGACCCCCCCCTGCTAGGGTTGACAAATGAAATATCTTCGGGGACGCTCCCGGCGCTGAAGTCCGTGGCTCACCATGGCGCAGGGACAGATTTGAAGTCGGGGCTCTTGTAAAAAAATTAAGAACAACTTGTCCCCTGCCCGCTCCCGCTTTCGCACCGCAGGCTTAACCCAATTCCAATAAAAATGAATAGGATCATGTGATCAAGTGAAGGGACAGGACGATGTCTTGGCCGAAGTCCAGGAATGACGACGCCGGAGCGTACCCTGACGACGCGCCCCGTCGTTGGCGTCGGCACGAGCGCCCACCCGCAGTGCATGCAGGCGGGCTCCAGGCATCGGGACGGGAATCCGCAGATTGGGGCAGCAGCAGGTCGCCGTGATGGCGTAGTGTGTCGGGGAATGACACTCGAAGTCCATGAATGGCAGCGAAGCCCCAGCTCCAGGTTCCCAGGGTTGGAGACGGAACCAGGCAGCAGGAGGACACGTGACGCCATCTTGATCACAGCGGAAGTGACCAAGTCTTTCGGGCCGGCAGGGGGACAGGCAGCCTCGGCGATGATGACGTTGCCCCGGCGAATGATGACGCTGCCCCGGGATTGTTGTCCCCCTCGTGGGCCGCGCCATGACTCACACCCGCCTGGTTCTGGAATGCAACCTGCGCTCTGCCCCCTCTCCCGTTTCTTTCCCCAAGAAACCTCGGAAATTCCGAGCAAGGTCGAGCCGTCCAACTGAGGACACTCGACCAATCCCTGGGTGCTCAAGGACCCAGAGATAAAAAGAGGCAGAGACAAAAGTGTCTTTTCTGCCGTGAGTCACGTGCATCGCACTGGCTCGGCTCGCGAAGTTATTGTGAAAATAGTTCCACGACTCCGCTTAATGTCAACACGGATGTCCACATACCAAGCTGACTCGCGTCACCCCGGACATTAGATTTGTTGGTGACTGATCGACTAGGCAAAGTTCTTTGTAGCTGCTTTTGCTAACGATGCCTAATCGCTT